AAAGGCCCGATCATCTCACTTGCATGTCGGATGTTCCAACACTGTATTACTACTGATGGCCAAAACTGGTGTAAACTTTTGAACCCCTACAGATAAGGGAATAGCTCTTTGATAAACTTTGTTACATTTTACATGTTTATGGAACCCCCAAAATGTGAAATCCTAGATCCTTACCTAGTTTGACATTTCTTGGTGATACACCATTGCCAGTTCCTTTGAGAAATATTGGACCTCCACCTGTCTGGATTACATGACAGGGGATTTTATAGATAAGGAGATGAAACTTGGTGAAAAACAGGAGCTGAATAATGCGAAAGTACACATCAGTGACATAGCTGTCTGAGAGTGGGGAAGATGTGTAGTTCAAGGATGTGTGGTTCAAGGTGGATTTATTGTAGTTACCAACTTACAGTGAGTGTCAGATCATCAGAGGCTATTCTGTTGGATTGAAGATCAGTTGGTAGTTCTATACAAGGGAAATGCTTTGTCGAAGACACGCTCTGGTGTTGGAGACAGACCCAAATCTGCATGAAAAGAGCTGCTCAGTCAGCCTGGAGAAGTGTTATAGTGGGGAGTAAAATAAGTCTGAAAGTTTATTATTTATTTTATTTTTTAGTTTATTATTGACTATAATTACTTGTTAGACAGCAGGTCCAAATGTGACATACTGTAGTGTGGGTCTGCAGAATTACTATGTATCAACTATGTACGTGCCTCAGGAAGGCCCATGTCTAGTCTACCACAGAGCTCACCACCCTCTCACCACATTCCACCCCTCTGTTCTCCCCTCGTTCTCCCCTCATCCTCCCCCATTAGTGCTATTGGGCCTGGGTCTACTGCTGCCTCTCTGCTAATGAGAACCAGTCCCATCCAGCACCATATAAACCCACTAACACACACTTACCTCTGATCTCAGACCAGTAAATGTAGTCACTGTGGCCTGGTCCCACCACTTTACAGCTGCTAATTTAGCCACACAGCCCTGTGTTATCATAACCTTTCATGTAAAAAAGAAAGGAAAAGAGGGGAGAGGAAAAGAAATTGGTAACATAGGTGCATATGGTACTTTGGGGACTGTTAAATATATAGAACACAAGAATATAGTGATCTAATAATGGGAAAATGTCCACCAGATGTGGGATGGTGTAAATACAAATATCCAGATTGCGTGTAGTACATGGAAGTGATGATTTGATGACGCCGCCTACTGTACATCCCCATTGGTTACAGCCCTGCTCGAATCTGTCTGTGATGTTTGTGGCTGCCTGACTTACAAGTAGCTGTTTTGTGTTTTTATTGGAAAATATTAAGTTTAGTATTAATGCAAGAACAGCACCAGATTTGACAAGTTTAAAGTACATCAATTAAATTGCAAATAAACTGCTAATATTACTTGGTCACATTTTTGTTATATTGACTAGACATACCGTATACACCACCTCAATGGCGGTGATTGTTGATTGTCCCAACAGATTATGAGGGAAAATTAGGTGTACAGGTGATGGAAAATATTCATATGATTCTGTGTAAAAACAAACTTTTAATTGATTTAGGTGTATATTACTTACCTTTTCTTTCCTTTGTTTTCCATCCATACCATCCAGGGGACAGAACGGCTCTAAGGTTTTTCATGTTTCCTAGCTTTCAGTGGAGCACAGCAATATGTGGCTTTGTGGATCCAAGATGACAAACTCGTTCCAGTGGAGTGTTTGACTTTTTTTTCCGTTTACTTAAGAAGAATAACGTACAGCTCTGTAACTGTAATAATTTGGCAAATGATTGATAAAAGGAAAGAAATGCCTTGCAAAAACAGATAGGAATTGTGGGCTCTGTACAGAAAGTTGTTGACATGCTGGAAAGAAATGGTTTCTCCAAAGACACCACAGCTCAACAGTAGTTCATAGTTAATCAGAGCAGTACTACATCACTAAGGCAAGACCACCTTTCTGAGACGATGCCATTAGGTTGTTTCAAGTCTCAGCGTTGGTGATCCACGTAATTACAAAGCGTACAGTCCGACAGAACTGTTTTCCTTTTTAATAGAGGGTGATGTATGTAAGCACTCCCTTCTTTCATGTAAAGGAAACAGAAACCCCACACATATAATTATACCATGAGTCGACGGAAAAATAGTTTGCACATGTTTTGTCACTTTTATAAACAAAAGAGCCGAAGATTCTCTTAAATGTGACAATTGGCTGCTCACATGTGATAGTAAATTGACTATGTTTGGGTTGTGGACTGTTGGTTGGACAAAACAAGACTTTGAAGACATCACCTTGGGTTCTAGTAGGGCTAGTAAAAAAACAAAAAAACAACAAATTCTTTTTACTCAGATTTTATGCAGATGGTGGTGTAGTGTGTTCTTCATACTATGACAGTTTCCTAAAATTAGATATAAAAAACAAAATCGTTCCAGACATAATGATATAGATGTATATCGCAATATATATCATAACCCCTGTATCATGATCCGTATAGTATTTCCAATACACAGCCCTAGGCTCTAGGCAATTATTTTCTGACATATTAGTTGCAGCCCATATGGGACTCCTCTCTGCTACATTCTGTTGTCATGGTCATCTTTTCTGACATTGTTTTATATTTTTAAATATGTTTTGCTAGACTTTTGCCCCTTGCAGTTATGTCCATGCCTGGGTGCGATTACCTGCCTTATCATCTTGCAAGCTATGAAAGAGCAGAACTAGGTAGCACAGTAGAATTAAGGGGGGAAAGAAATGCTGATTTGCTCTTTGCTATTGACCTCTGCTTCTAGTGTCTTGTCTCTAGCCAACATCAAGGCTCCTCCACTCCTTTTCCCGTTCTCAGTTTTCTTCCGTCATAATGAAACCTACACTTTAATTACAGCCATCATTTTTTTGCACTTCACTTATATTATAATATATTTGCCTTTTAAGTAGGCACTTAGTATGGCTTTTAACATTTCCCCCTGAGCAGTATGCATAGAATAGACTGATTTCATTTAGGTCTCAACAGCCCCCTCTTGCCCCCTACCACTCAGCACTCCCACCTCCATCCTCTTACCGACTATTTTCCTGTCTAATTTTGCTGTTTGCTTTTTTGTCCTCTCTTCCCTATCAATTTGGGTCCTGCAGCCTTTTGTCCCTGAAATAACTGTGAGCTCCACCTACTTTCATTGGTCCACAATTTGCATGGTGGTGTGCCATAGTCCTCCCTCCAACCTTTGCCATATTTTTCTCCCGAAGCCTTTTGTGAATACTGTTCCCAGTTCGAAATAGGCTCTATGTACCTGGAAGCACTAAAGTACTGGAAGCAACCTGAATTGGTTTTAACTGCCTGCTACGACCGCAACGTCTCAGTGCAGATTAGGCCTGAATGGGACTGGAGGGCATGTGGAAGCGTAGTTGACAGGATTAAGTGGCTATTGAAGTGACTTTAGCTTCTTTTTTTATAGAGCAATTGACAAGAAAAGAGAATAATTCAGCCCCCTCCTTCCTCTCTTTCTCTTGTCTTCCTTAGGCAAAGAAGAACACTATCTACAAATAGGATCCCTTGAAGGGTTTCGGATACCCAGTGAGACTTAGTGAGAATATGTTTCTTGCTGTAATTAGATAGATCTGATCTTAAACATTTAGCTATTCATCAGGGCCAATTGTTTGCCAAAGATTGCGATTATTGGTGTGCACTGTTGTGTGGGTGTGAATCTTTGACACATGTGAGTGTGCATGTAGAGGTGGGAGACATGATGATGAGCATGTCAACAACTGGTTTACTAGTATTTTATTGTCTGGCAGTCCCAGTAAATAATTTTTATGTTGTTAGGATGGAAAACATGAATAACTTGACTCCTTTTGGCGCAGCACGCAGTCACTCATTCAATACTGCCTCAAAGATTTAATTAATTTAAAAATAAAATGGCCACCAAAACCAGCTTGTTGTATGTTTTTCTAAACTTGTAAGAAGCATCACCTGAAGAGCAAAGACACTGCAGAGAGAAGCACCAAAATTGAAAAGGTAATGTAATGTGTATGCTGTAAAGAGGTACCCAATACTGTGAGGCTTTACTCAGAGAGGGGTTGTTTTAAACACACTTGAATAAACCAGTTTTTTTTTATTAGTTGACCTTCCTAATGAAAACCCTGGCAACAGCATTTATAATACTGCACTGTACTTCCCCTTTAATGTTTCAATTTATTTCATGTGTGAGTGAAAGCTGTGGTCCGATTCAGTACCAGTGCTAAAAATACAATAGTAAGCTCAGAAGACAGTGTTAAATACTTCATTACTATTTTACTTATGTTCAATGAATATTGCAATGCAGCCATCTCAGTAGCATCTTAAAATGTCTGTACTTGAATCATATTTATCCATTCAGTCATTGTGTAACTAATAAAGCAGAATCATTTATAAACTATGTTTTCCACCTAATATTTATAGTAACTATAAAGGTACAGACCTTTTTAAAACATTAACTACAAAAACAGAGCTACACTGAGTTTTCCAAACTCACATTTTTTCATGACTCAGCTCCAAACACACACTACTGACACCCCTACTCATTCACTTTCTGCCCTGCCTAGATATTCAATAGTGTGGCAACATTAGCATATGAGTGGCTCAGTGTTTGGGTGAGTTTGTTCTCAACAAAGAGAGCCAAAGCACAGGTCAACGTCTCTTGTCCACTTCAATGGACTGCTGAAGGGCAAACAGCACTCCCAAAATGAAACGTTTCCAAACTTTCGCTCCAGTCTGGAGGAAAAGGCCTCCTTCTGGATCTTCATGTTTAACTGTAGATATTATGAAGATGAATGCAGCAACAACCTTTAATTATTCATTGCCCTTAGCCCTGTATTGATGCTGTGTGTGCTCATGTAAGTAATGTATGCACCAAAGACATGTATTTGTGCATTCCTGCTACTACTGTCTGAGTGTTGTGTACGTTTATAAAGTGTACACAAATGCATGTATATGCCTGTGTGCCACCGTGTGCTTATGTATGTATATATTTGTGTTGACAGGGAGAGCGGTTGGCTCCTGCCCGCAGCCTGGCAGTTGTGTACCGAAGCATGGCGTCATCACCATCACTCTGCAGGCCCCTCGCTGCGCTACATACCCCGCAGGGCGGTTCTCTACTGCCCTGGCAATGATGAGCGAAAATTGAGGAAACTAGCCTCGCTGGATGTCGACTGCGCCGTCTTGGACTGCGAGGACGGTGTAGCCCTCAGCAAAAAGGTACACAAATACACAGATGCACATGTATAAATGAAAGGCAGCTTCATATGAGCAGGTCAGCAAGGAGCACACAAACACACACGCACAGCTGTGGGATCCTGAATGATTTTAATTCTGTCTCCCTCCTTCAGACAGGTGCTTGGTCTTAATCACTGAAAGGAAAACTACCTAAGGGAGATGTTTAAAACAAGCACATTTCACCCTATTATGATGGTATAAAGGCAGTGGTGCCCCCCTATCAGAGTCCTTTAAAACAAGGTGACCATGTCCCACTGGGTGAGCAGCGGGAAAGCACCAGATGCAGCAGGTTAAAAGCATTCTCTTCCCGCCCACACGACCTCCTCATTGGCCCTTCTGAACTGCCCATGAAATTGTGATTGGAGAGTGGGATAAAGAAGAGGCCCGGGTAAAAAGTTAACTAACAAAGGTTTTTAAGTCATGATAATAAAGATGATTGATATGGCTGGAGGCTGTTCCTGTAGTAGACAAAGACAATTAGATGATGGCCTGTGTGACTGACAGGCTAAAACTGTGACCCTTGCGATGGAGTTGGTGGATGTCAGAGCTTCTGTCTTTATTATGTGTTAGAGGGGGAAATGTGGAGAGGAATGCAGCAGTGACGCAGCCATTCAGGCTTGAGGAGAACTCAGACCCTGGACTCTTGAGTTGTCAGCATGTGACAGGTCCACATCTCTATCTTATTTCAACAAAAGTATCCTGCTTCAACCCACTTATTTCTTTCACCAATCCACTCGTTTCACATAAAACGGTAGACATTATTTTCAGCTCTGTCTGAGCATGGAATTATGAATACTTAATATGATATGATTCATTGTTTTCTGTTCTTTTCAAAGGCCTTTTCTCTGTCAGTAATCAGCTGGTGGGTAGTACCTGTAGAGGATAGCATTAGTCCCCTGTATATCCAATAAAGGGGAAAATTACATTAGCTCCAGGGCAGCTCCACATCTTAACGTGCAGAATACCTCAGCAGGCTTGCCTCCCTGTCTTCCACTTATAGCAATCAGACTAATGTACTTCAAAATACCAACAATGCATTTTGGAAAATAGTATTTTACCTCAATAGTTCCCTGCCTAATAATTCCATTACTTCTCTGATCTGGCTACATCAGCTCGGTACACGGTATAATGCATGATAGATTTCAACCATTTCTGACACCATAGGTCCATGTTAGCTTTTAAAGAGTCTGACACAGTGTGCCAAAATCCTGTAACCTATTATGTGTTTGCTAGGTCGTACTGTGTAATATAAAGATTAGTTATTTACTCAATAACAAAATGCACCTTGCCTACTGGCACCCTTTCTTCACTTCTCACACTCTCAGCTTCTTTCTCCACTGTGGCAATTGGAAATCCATGGGGGTTGTGTGTGTGTGTGTGTGTGTGTGTGTGTGTGTGCGTGTGTGTGTGTGTGTGTGCGTGTTGTGTGTGTGCTGTGTGTCGTTTCCGCGTGAGAGATCGACGAGAGGCGTGTTGTGAGGAGTAGAGACGAATGTCAGTGCTGTGATAGCCAGACATTACATAACGATATCAAGGTTCTTAACTTTTCCACTCTCCCACACACCTGCTCTTCCCATTTGTCTTCTTTATCACACACACATAGGGGGGTATTTACTTAGGATTTGTAGCCCCTCTTTGCAGATATTTACAAAAAGGTCGCACTGAGAAAATATTGTGTGTTTGGATTCATGCAATATGTATTTTAGGGTGTTCGTCTCAAGCGATGCAAAACATGGCGTAAGAGATGAAAATTTTTACAAATAGAGGCTGCAACAGATTTAGTCATTGTCGATTACATTTTGCATCCGAATAAAGAAAGTGTAATGGCTTGTCTATAATACACAGGAGGTGTTTCTGCCATGTTCGTCTGACAACTATTATTTTAATTTATAAAGATGTATACACTTTTTATTTATTTACTTATTATTATGTATTTATTTATTTTTAATTTTATATACTGAGATGATGTGTATGTATAACAAGTGATACAATGTAATACGTTTGGGGATTGGTGACAAAGCTGACGTGAGTAAATACAAACAGCAACAAATGGTTATGATTGAATATGGATTGAAAGTGTAACCAAAGGACTGTAGCTCTTAAGATGTAGGGTGTGTGTATTAGAGACGGTGCAGGGCAGTCTGTGAAGTTTATTTGTAAAGTTTGACTGTGTATTGGGCTTGTAGCCCTGCCAGAATGTGAGTGACACGCACAACAACACTGCACCTGAACGCATTCTGAGTAGACACTGGTGTAGTACTGAAGCTTTTGCTGCTGTGCTGCTAGCGTGCTACTCACTACCCCACATGTGTAGACACGGTGTAAATTCTGTTTTATTGGAAGCAAGAGTGTAAAGTCAACTTTGGTCCCTCTTCAGTAACCGTTCAGATAACTAGCGACTGAGCAAAAACTTAACTTTATTTATTTATTTGCTGCTTCAGTGGTTTAATTTCTTTCTCTGCTATAGTAATTTAGAAGTGTACTCCAGGGTGTGTCAGTACACCGTGATGTCACTCTAAAGTACTTGCACCGTGGGTCTCTGAAACCGTTTAAACAGTTTATGTGGGGTGGTATCGCTTCCAATTTTTGGCGACATCTGTCTTGTGTTACTTTTGAGTTTTGATGCATTTATTGAAAGTCACTTTGGACAAAAGCATCTGCCAACTAAATCTAATGTAAAGAGCTTAAATGGCAGCACTTACAAAAAAATTCTATAAAACATTATTTATTAATATTATAAAAAAAATTCTGTCTACCCCCAGTAAATTGTGGTTGGCTTTCTTAACATTTACCATAATGTCTTGGCAAAAAGATTACCGCTAATCTGCCTTTTATATATTATGTTACATTAAGATCTGATCTGGGACCAACCGAATCATAAATAAATGAAAGATTTTAGCTTTTTCATTGTGAGTGTGTTTGCTCTGACAATTTCTACAGTGTATACCGTAGCTTCGATTAAATTCACCATGACGACCGCACAGTTGGCATTGTGTGTTTGCCAAGAGATGCCAGGCCTCAACAATGGTCTTGTAATGCATGTCTGTTTTTTTTCCGAGGGAGGGAGAATGGGAGCAAAGCAGAGACTAAGCTCCCTAAATGTCATCCTGAACCTCTTGTTTGGTGACGGCAACAATGGGTTAGGCGAAATGCGAGGTTAGTTGCCAGGTGTGCATGGATAGGTCTTAAATGGGGCTACTGCCCACAACCACCCTCCTATTATGTGTTCATTAATGTATTCTTTTCATTATCTGTCACCTTCACCTTAAAACAGGGAACGATATTCATGACAAAAAGGTACGCCGTGAAGGTCAGTCCGCCCCCTCCCCTTGAAAATTGAAATCCGGGAGTGCCCGCTTTAATTGCCTGCCGCTTTGACTCCAAAAATGTCTGTGCGCTCCATCTTGGCAGTAATGCTGGCTGCTTAAGAGGCAGGGAGATGAGAAAAGGGAGTAAAGGGTATGAGCCACCCAGAGCTTGCTAACTGTCACCACAGACCCAGAGGGGAGAGAAGGAGGAGGAGAGAGGGGAGGGAAGACAAGGCTGACTGCTCTAACACTCTTACACATATCATCATATCTGTATGATCAGTGGGGTGGAGGAAGAGGGAGGGCAGGTTGAAACCCCGGAGCGGAACTGACGGCTACACCTGTCCTCTCTCCTCCTCTCTCCCTCTCTGTCTTGTTCTTTCATTGTCTCTCTCTCTCGCTCATCTCCCCTCGCCAGGGTCCTCAGGGTTAAGATTGTTTATCTCTCTCTCTCATGTTCTCTTGCTGTCTCTCTGTGCCCTATGGTCCAGTATTCCTCCCGGTGTTTCTCTCTCTCTCTCTCTCTCTGTCTCTCTATCCCTCTCTCTTTTTCCCCACATGGGTCCCTCCATCCTCCCTGACTCCCCCCTGCCTCCCTGCCGTAGAGATTCTCTCCTAATCCCTGGAAGTTTGGAACTAATGAACTAACTGCTGAGCCGCTGCCACGGAGCTTGGTCCCAAACTATACTGTACTTCACACTCGATTTCCTCTCCAGATGGCATGGTGGCGCGGCCGACACGACGGGGAGCACCTCTTGCACACCAGCACGCGCCTGCAAATGCACACGAGTAGACAAGACATGCAGAACACAAACATGCACACATGGGAGAGTGTGCACTTGCAGACACATGCAGACATTCACACACAAATGCACGCACAAGCACATACACAAATTGTTACAGCCCACTGTACGTCAGTCAAGCATGACAGAGGACCAGTGTCCTGCATTCACTTTCAGCACATTACAGAATCAGGGCCACTTGTTAGTGCTTAAAATGAGTTCATTCACGATTTTGATCATCTGAAGGTTTATAAACCATCTCAAATAACTTTGTTGATACTGATCAACCCCGCAGTAGCATTTATTGGGCCCACGTGGAAGCTAGAAACCCATCACTCCTGGATACGGTTTTATGAGTACATGGATGTGATTACATCCAAACCTACTTGATTCCAAGTTTAATTGGTGCAGTTACTCTGTTTGATGGTCCTAATTAGCAAAAGTACAGGAATTACATTTTAGAGGAGATATTAGAGATTGCAGTTTAAAGTCTTCTCACCATTCTTTTTAATTAATGAACAGTTACAGGTACTTCATACTTCATGATACAGATGTACAGGAAATACTGATTATTGTTAATTACCAGTCATCTTCCATGTTGTACTTAAAGAGTTACCATATAACCATAGAATATAATTCAGTCTTATGCAGTCCTAAGACAAACTACAGCTTCATAAAGGACACAATTATTGTTGGTCAGTTGTATTATAACTGTAACGTCTTATGCAAGGGTGATCATAGGCCTAAATTGATGAAAGTCACAGTAAAGTGAAGGTGAGTCACATTTACTAGTCATTACTAATGACTCATTAGTAATGTATTTTCAATTACTTTACTAAAAGACTGTTCTGTTTCTTGCTTTGAGGCCTGTAATGAATGACTGAGAAACAGA